CAGGGTATAAACATTAACATCCATATTCTAAAATAAGCTAACAAGACTATAGCATCATCCCTCACTTGTACTTTAATTCCCCTTTTGTAAAGCTAACTTTAAGCAAATTGTATCATTCCTTGCTCATTCACTCATAAACTATCTGGAATTTCTTAGTCCCATATTTATTCTGAATATAGTCAATCCATCTTCTCCATTCCAGCTGGTATTTCTCATCTGAATGGTCCTTAAAATATGCTGATATTTTAGCCATCTCTGCTAAGTTTGTTACTTTTAGTGTCCATTCTTGAATAGTAGGTAATTTTTCCTTCTTCCAGTACTGCGCCACCAATAGTCTTGCTATCTGGTCCTCAATTTCAATATAGATTTACTTTGACCTTTTTTTCTCTAATCCCTTCTCTCCAGCTTTGAGTATTATAGCAAATGATAAACTTCGGACAGAAACTCAACACCGCATACCCGATTTACTCTTAGCTGTGAAGAACTAAAATATTGGAAGCAACAGAACGATCACTGAAGCAAATGGAAAAGATAGGCGCAAATTCGCCTCTGCTGCATATATAAAGCAAATGCGTAACAGCCGAATGACCCTATACAGGTACGTTTTAAAATGCCTATATCTTATCTTATGATCCATCTAGTAATAGCGCGGCGCTGCGTATTAGATGCCCTCTCCTCTGCGCCCTATCGGAGGGGAAAGAAAATTCCCCAGGGGTTAAGCCTCCCCCGCCTTCTTCACTCCCGTATCTAAACACTGATGTGACCTTCGTTGGGTACGAAAAAAAAGAAGCAAAGGACAACTCACGAGCAGTTCCACAGCAGCCTGGCTCAACAGCGAGCATGCTCAGTGCCTCTCTGACCTACTTGTGCAAGCGGAGTCCGGGGAGCTCAGGCTGCAGCTTTGCTGGGAGCGCGCGGAAGAAAGCGCAAGCCAGCAGGGACTGCGGCGGCAGCGGCAAAAACGCGAGTAAAGGGGTGCAACACCCTGAGGTCCCCGGGAAAGCAAAGTGCTCCTGCACCTGCTGGGGCTGCAAAAGCCGAAATTACCTGGAAGTAGCTTCCAAATTTGCCTAAGCGGCAGCTCTAAGGAAAGCTGTGGACAAGAAGACTCAACGGCCAACGAAGCTGCCTCTCGGTAAACATTTCTGTCCGGTTTATCTCCATCCCTACTAGGACTCGCCGAACGCCCTGGCATTGGGCAATGCAGACAAGGCGCCCCACGCTAGGAGGAGGGGTTCAAGACAGTCAGGAGGGAGAAAGAGAGCCTTCGCCTCTTTTCCAACTATCCCTGATAGATTCGACCAGCAAAGGTAGTGGTGGGTGGCAACAAGAGAGGTATAAAGGGCGATATTGCAGAGAAAGGTAGCGATGGCTTTTTTGTGGCTTCTTGTGTAGCAACTTCTGTGGGCGCAGCGCCCAAACCCATCGCTTGTGTTAAAGAAGAACTGAGGCGGTTTGCGCGTTTGGAATTTGGTCAGCGTTTAAACCATTAGGCATAAGTTATCTATTATTTTCCTTTTGTTCTGCCCACTTTCCTAGAGCGAAGTTTGGCTGGCCTCATCTGACTCTTGACTAGACTTATGGGGCATTTTGCTTTCAGAGACTTAATGAGAATGGAAAATGAGAAGAAAAATATCCGGGGCTGGCATAGGAACACATGAGTTGATACTTCTGTGAAAAGATTATTAGACAAGAACCCTGTTAGTCTGTAGGAAAGGGCTGCAGAGGATGGGCAAAATATTGTCTCCTTAATCTTAGCCATATACTGTGTCTAAAGAAAACTTGTTTCCCATCCAGAAAGCTTGAGGAGAGGAGGTACTTGCTTCCATCTATTGCAGAGCTACAATTCCCCAAAATCTGAAATAGTTTGTGAATGTTAGGAGTTGTAGTTCAACAACATCTGAAGTGCAAGAGATTCTATGTGGCTGTTTTAGGATAATAAAAATGCTAAAGAAGTTCAGGATTGAACTTGGGATCCTTGCCTCTCTCTGGGTTTTGTAGTTTTCTTGCAGACCTTTCATT